TCTACAGCAAAATAGTAAATGGTAATAAACACTATGATTCACAATATCACTTCTCTTCAATCTCTGATTCTGCAGCCAAGTCTTCTGGTCCGTCATTCAATTTCTCATATTTTCATTCCAGAAAGAACATCTGCGAGGTTCTGTTGCTGTGGTGTATCTCTGGCATTTTCTCGAAAATGTCCTCTGGCAGTTTCTCGAAAATGTCTTCTGAAATAAGTATCAATCACTATTACGTCTAATTCTTTTTCTTTCGCGATTTTATGATTATGTTTATAAAAAGATGTCCAGCACACAGATAGAGACGTTTGGAGCAGGAGTCTGTCAGACAAAAAGTACCCATTGCATGAGTGCCTTATCACTGGTTCATTTGAGCATTTCTTCATGATATAAATCCACTCGCTCATTCAATTTTTGAATGAAAAAGTTAATAACTTGACTCTCAGAGGCGAACAGCAAATGCTGAAGACAGATTTGGAAGTAGCGTATAGTATGCTCCAAAACTATGCCGGGCTAATGTAAAAGTGAACATAATCATTTAGAAAAAAAGGGGCACCAAAGCTTGGGCAAAACAGGAATGGACATCTTTCTCATTTACGCAGAAAATGTCAATTTGCCTTTATCTTTCGCAAGCGATGAAGAAGGTGACTAGTTGAATGGGTATTTTCCTTGATTCTAGAGTTTTGCAGAACTTCACCCTCATAGTTAACTAACAAGATAAAAAATAAGAGTATTATCTTCTGGTTTATATTGTGTCTCAAAATTGTACTTTTTTTCTTTCCGCTGATTCTCGTTATTTTCGCAGTAATTTGGAAATACTGAATTCAATTTCGTGATATGAAACGATTATGTGTTAGCAATTTAACACAGGGCCCGACACAAGGTTGTCAAAAGGGGTTTTCGAAAACGAATTCCCCTTTGACGCAGAATTTTTTTACGAATTTCTCTTTGACCCAAAACTTGATCCCAGTGATTGCCCAGTAGACACTTTACCCAAAGAACATGTCTTGTTAAAGAAAAAAAACAAAAAGTATTCATTCATGACAAGAAAAGAAATGAAAAGACTTAGCGATGCGCCGTTATCCATTGGAGCGCACTTTCCTTCTTAGGAAACGGGTTTGCTGAAACTATTTTTGGCTCTAGCAACGAGGAGAGGAGAAGGTTTGAAACCAAAATTTCAATATATCCTAACCTTTGGGCGTAGAGTAGATTTATTATGTCGTTCCGAAAGTAATGTCGCTTTTTTTCAAATAAACGCCATATTTCATGGAATCAAGATTTTCGAGAGATCCTAGAAGCATTCGATGCAACATTTTATTTTCTTTCTAACAGTTGTAATTTTATTGCACAATGTTCAATTAGCTCTCGAAAAATTACCAAAACCTGCAACTCATGCTTTTTGTCAGGGTCAAGTTCGGCTTTTTTACTATATTTTTGTACTGATTCTCGAGATGTACGAGTAACAGATAAATAGAGCAAATCCTACAGGACACAAAACATTTTTTCTTTCCCTTAGCTTGCTTCTTAGAGTTTCTGGAGTCAAATTTTCAATGCTATCAAATTGCATATTTGGTCAACTCAAACTTCATAGAGCAGTAACCGGCAGGCAACTCGGATTCATTCGATGCAGCTTTTTCTCTTCTTTATACCAGTCGTTTTTTGTTTCCGATTCATCAAGTTTTCCGGGATAAAATCGTCATATCAGGATTTCCAGGGCGCCCCAGGCTGTACCCGGAATTTTCGAAAGTTGCTAATCTAAAGCAGTGAATGCTTGTTTGGTTGCTAAAATTGGTGTCAAACCATAATCCAACCATGACTCTTTGTAAGTTTCAAAATCTGAATATTTATTGGCGCTTGATGCATTTGTGTCTGAGACGAACCTGCTAGAATTTGGTTGTTCCATCAAAAAATTTATTCAAAAATTTTGACGAGCTCTGGAAAGCAGAGAAAAGCTGTGCTGTTTCCTATAGGGTTTGCTCTATCCATCCATTACTTGGACTTCTTCCAGTGGTCGTTATGAAGATTTAGAAAATTGTGAAACTTGGCCTTCTCAAAAAGCATGGGTTGCAGATTTTGAAAATTTTTCGAGAGGTTATTGAGTTTTGTGCACTGGTTATACAGGGTGTCCCAAAAAATGTTAACACTGTTTGATCGTTAATAACTCCCTTGATTTCGTATCTTTAGGCGAGCTTGAGGCACCATTCTGTAAAGCGAGGTTAAACTTAGATTCATAGTTTGAAGCAAATCACCGTTTGCTCTTCTTTACTGTAGGATTACGGTAAGAAATTCCAGCATATGGAACCGTCGTGAAATATGCCCTCTGAGAATTTTTTTTCAAAAAATCTGAAAAATCGTATACTAGGGTTTTCGCGCACGCTGATTTTACTACACAACTTTTTACAAGTGTTTTCAGCATTTTTGACGATATAATCACATTTTTGACACATGCTGAGAAGTCATTATTACACTTTACCTAGGATAACTTTGAAAAGAAGTATCATAATGAAATGGAGATTTCATATCCGAAATCAGCTGCTTTCATTATCATAGTACAAGAGATTTTGGCTCGTTTGGCTCTGTTTCGAAGCAGAAAATGGCTTTCAATGGCCTAAAATCCTTGTCAAATTTCCTACCGTAATTCTACAGTAAAGAGGAGAGTTAGACTATTCGCTCCATACTGGGAATCTAAGTTTATCCTCGCTCTACAAAATGGTACCTAAAGCTCGGCGAAAGACTCGAAAGCAATGGAGTTATTAACGACCAAACAGTGTTAACATTTTTTTGGGACACCCCTGTATAACCAGTAGAAAGAGAATGAAATGGTACATCAAATGCTTCCAGAATCTCTTACATATCTTTGTTCCATGGGATGTGGCGTACGTTTGGAAAAAAGTGACATTATTTTCGGAACGACCTAATATGTAAAAAATTTGAGAAAATTATGTGAATTGAAAGTTTCGACAACCTCAGGTTGTCATTAGGTTGTTAAATGACAATCTAATTTGGAAAAAAGTGGAGCACGCTCTTCAATCACATAAGTTTTTCATAATTTTTCATACTTTGTTTTTTAGTCCTGCTGCGCATATACACACCAAATCCCGCGCGATTTCGTCACCTCTGCATTGCAAACGAGCCATTTTTCCGTATCTTTGAAAGCGGGAAATTTTCAGAAAAAAGTTCGCCACAACCTTCAGTCACATAATTTTTCATTGAAACTTCTCAGCTAAGCCCTGCAGGCCCGTGTACGTATACGTACCAAGTTTCATACCATATCGTCATCTGCGCCTTGCAAACATTTGAATTCACAACTTCGTTTACCAGTTTTGCAAAATTTTCGGAAAAAAAT